CCCCAAAACCCCAAAACCCCAAAACCCCAAAACCCCAAGATATGTTACTAAATTTAAATGTGGAGAACACAATCCTTTCTTAGTATAAGGAGAAATCTTGCCCAGAGTTCAAGACTCAGTGGGAAATCCTCTCTGAGTAGAATCTCAGAGAGAAGATTTGCTGCACAAATCTTCAACAACTGTGACGAAGCTATCCATGATATGAAAGATGGATCCAAGATTGCTTGTGGAGGCTTTGGAATTTGAGGTATCCCTGAAAATCTGATAGAGTCTATCAAGAATAAAAATCTCAGAGAACTCACTTGCATTTCTAACAATGGAGGTCTTTCAGATTGGGGTCTCGGAAGGCTTATGATTAATAGACAAGTCAAAAGAATGATAGGAGGGTCTATCATGGAGAATAAACTATACGAAAAACAATACCTTGAAGGAAATATGGAAGTGGAATTCATCCCACAAGGCACTCTTGCAGAGAGACTGAGGGCAGCAGGAAATGGGATCCCTGCTTTCTATACTCAGACTGGTGTGGGAACCTTCTTAGAACATGGAGGATTCCCAATCAGGATGCCTCAGGACGGAGAGGAGGCTACCTTAGTTACAACTCCAAGAGAAGTTAAAATCTTTGATGGCACTAAATATCTTTTAGAAGAAGCTCTTAAGGCTGATTATGCTATTGTCAAAGGATGGAAAGCTGATGAAAAAGGTAACGTAGTATTCAGGAAATCAGCAAGAAACTTCAACATTGATTGTGCTAAAGCTGCTCAAACATGCATTGTTGAGGTAGAAGAGATAGTTCCGACTGGAACTCTTGATCCTGATACCATCCATCTTCCTCATATTTTCGTTCAAAGATTAGTTCAATGTGATCATTACGAGAAAAGAGTGGAACAGCTTACCGTTTCTAATGAAGATGGCAAAGTCGATGCTTCTTCGCTTGGCAGAAATGCTGGAAAAATCTCAGAATCTTCCTTAAGAAGAAAAAGAATCGCAATGAAAGGAGCCAAGGATGTGAAGGATGGTATGTACATTAACTTGGGAATCGGGATCCCAACTTTGATCTCCAATTTTATCCCAGAAGAACTTGATGTGACCTTCCAGAGTGAGAATGGTATCCTTGGAATGGGAGGATTCCCATTAGAGAAGGATGTAGATCCTGACCTAATAAATGCAGGAAAGCAGACAGTTGTTACAGTGCCAGGAGCCAGTTTCTTCTCATCATCAGAATCTTTCGGGATGATCAGAGGAAAGCATATTGATGTAAGGATTTTTAGTGAAATTATAGATCACATTCTTGGGAGGATTCCAAGTATCTGAAAGAGGAGATCTAGCGAACTGGATCATCCCAAAGAAACTTGTCAAAGGAATGGGCGGTGCAATGGATTTGGTTCAAGGAGCTAAGAAGACAGTTATCATGATGGAGCATGTTGCAAAAGGCAATCAGCTCAAGGTTCTCAAAGAATGTGAGCTCCCTCTCACTGGAGAGAATTGTGTTGACGAGCTAATCACAGACCTTGCTGTCTTTAGATGGAATGAAGAGAGACAGATGATATTAGAAGAGGTAGCCTTCGATACAACAGTTGAAGAAGTCAGAAAGCTAACGACTGCAAGATTCAAAGTCTCTGATAATTTGAAGAAATTTTATGATGAATAGACTCATGAATTAAATTCAATCTTTAATTCCTTAAATGGGGTTTTGGGGTTTTGGGGTTTTGGGGTTTTGGGG